GAGAAGCAGGATCCACAATGGGAGAATGTGGACGTGGCATACTCGATGTAATTGATGTTATTGTTTAAATTTGTGAAAGATGTTTTATAACGGAAACAATTGCTGTTGGCATCGGTTACGGGGTTCTTAAATGTTCAACAATCATCCAACACAGCAAGAAAGCTACAGTCTTTTCCACACACACTAAAACTATTGGATTATTGTATCAAATTATTTTTAGTGGTGTGTGAAAAAGACTGCAGCTTTCTTGCTATGTTGGAAGACTGTTGAGCATGTAAGAACCCTGTAAACGACGCCAACTGCGATTGTCTCCGTTATAGAACATCCTTCTACTGATGTAATTTAACTTATTTTAATTGATATTTTAACTGAAGGATTAAGGTGCCTACGTATTAGTGGTGTGTCAAAAGTCCAAGTACTTTTTGTTAATTTACTTACAACTCAAGAAATTCCAAAAATTGACTAATAACATCAATTACGCCAATAACGCCACGCACACAATCTCCGTTGTTGATATTGCGTCGCACTCTCTAATACGTCTAGAATACAACAACGGAGATTGTGGACGGGGCATTATTGGAATAATTGATATTATTGCCTGGATTTCTGAACAATGTTTTCTGAAAGATGTAATTTAACTTATTTTAATTGATATTTTAACTGAAGGATTAAGGTGCCTACGTATTAGTGGTGTGTCAAAAAGTCCAAGTACTTTTTGTTAATTTACTTACAACTCAAGAAATTCCAAAAATTGACTAATAACATCAATTACGCCAATAATGCCACGCACACAATCTCCGTTGTGGATATTGCGTCGCACTCTCTAATACGTCTAGAATACAACAACGGAGATTGTGGACGGGGCATTATTGGAATAATTGATATTATTGCCTGGATTTCTGAACAATGTTTTCTAGAGGCAAATTAATTCTTGTTAAGTTAAGTTAAGATACTGCGATTGTCTTCATTATAGAACATCCTTCTATTGATCTAATTTAACTTATTTTAATTGATATTATTGCCTCAATTTCTGAACAATGTTTTCTACAGGAAAATTAATTCTTTTTACGTTTAGATATTTTAAAATTGATATATAAAAAAAAAATAAAATTGGACTTGAGCTTAATTGACATTTATTAAGTTAAAATATCATATAACTTGAACTTTTTTTTTTGTTTTGGGAAAAAAATGATATTTTAACTTATAAATGGCAATTAAGTTGCCTACGTATCCCTTATATTGGGAATCAAAGTCCACGTAGTTCTTTCGATTTACTTACCTGTACACGATTGGTGGTCTCTAATAGTCATACTCGTCATCTCCTATTCCGGTTCCACCACTCGTCGTACTCGTAAAATCAGATGCGTCATCGTCGTCGTCTGCTTCGTCATCTACGTACATAGCTGTTTGCATCCTTCGTTCGGCTTTTTTCCAATCCATCAGCAGCATTTGTGCTTGTAGGTTTTCGGGCGTCAGCCGCGATCGTCGTGCGTCGAGCATATAACCTCCCTCGCTGAAGGCTTGTTCGACCGCAACTGTAGATGCTGGGACGGCGAAAATCTCCTTGGCCATCAAGCAAGGAATAGGATAAATACCTTGCATTCTCGACCACCAGCCCAAGACATCGAAATTGAGTGGCGGACTTGGTTCACGAGCAATCGTAAGTATCAAATTCGACGTTAGGTAGTGATCAAGCTCATAGTATCCAGTTCCCTTTGCCCTTTCAACGCCAACATTCTTGTAAGGATTTAATGATGCCCACCACTCCTGAAAGTTCGAAGCGCCTACTTGACTACCGCCGCAAGAAGAAGACCCGCTGCTGCTGCCCCTGCCACCACGAACGAATGTGCTGGGAGGTTCACCTTGTGCAATCGCTGTTTCCTTAAACATGTCATACAACAAATTTTTTGCTTGCTCGACGAGCAACAGTATGTTAGGTTTTTGACTTTATGTTGGGACATCAGTCGGGATTTGGAGTTCATACATATAATTATAATACATATTAAGCTGCTCTACCAAGCGAGCTTCACGTACCGAAGGATCTAACAAACATGCAACTAAATGTGTATCAGGAATGAAATAATAATATTTCAACCATTTCTTTAACATTTCCTCAACTAAATAGCCATATTTATTAAAATTTAAGTTGTAAAGATCCTTGAAAGCCCACATTATGGCTATAGCTTGACCTAACACAAGCTGAGCAGTAGGATAATAAACACCAGAAAGCATGTTAGTGGCATTTTGAAATGTTTCTAAAAATTGAATAAGTGCATTACAGTTCTCCCAATCTCTTGTTGACACTCGGACATCACAGTCCTTACGGTTTGAATGGTTAAAAAAATCCTGCAATTGTGTCATAAACGGAACCGTGTCACTCAACATTTTAAATGTTGAGTTCCACCGGTTAGGAACGTCGGGTTGAAATTTTCTAGGTTTCACCCCTTGATCTTTACAAAAACGTCCCCATGCTTTCATTTCATGGGGACGTTTATGTAAATAATTAACAGAATCCCTAATTGGCGTGACCGAATCTTTAAAAGCATGATAACCAGCTTGTACACAGAGATTTAAGATATGACATATACAACGAATATGAAAAAATCTTCCGCCGCAAATTGGAGTGCAAATATCGGTAAGTTCACGTATAGATGCAGTATTTGCAGTAGCATTATCAAACGAAATGGAAAACACTTTTTTACCTATTTGATATTTATCCAAAATTTTTGAAATTAAACGAGCAATATTAGAAGCAGTGTGTCGTTCATGAAATGCAACATAAGCAATTAAACGTTTTTGTAAACTCCAATTTCATCTATCCAATGACAAGTAATTCCCAAATAGAAATTATTTTGCCAATGATCAGACCAGATATCAGCACAAATGGATACTCTATGATTTAAAGATTTAAAAGTTTCTTGCAAAATTACTTTTTTTTCCGCCACTATTTTTCGAATATCGCGAGTAAGAGTAGTACGTGGAACCCGGTG